TGCCCTGAACAATAATCCATACTGTTTAGCTACTTGAATATCTTTAGCATTGTTGCATTGGAGCAAACCATGATCTGCTTGAAAACACTAAACTTGGTATGTATTCTTTGGAAATATTCTTTCACAGTTCACAAGAATGAAGTTCAGATAAATAACACATAAGTTGATATCTGGTAATAAATGTTTCTTACATATTATGGAGAGTAAAAGAACATATATCTATCTTCATTTGACTATTAACAACTTATAAAAATCATATATTTTTTTATAATTGGTAATGGTAGATATATATATATATATATATATATATTCATAAAAATATAATTTTACAACTTTTAAACAATAAAATATGATTATTTGTTTTGAATTTTATTGGGAAAATGCGAGGCAGTGGTACAGATACTAATTGTTCAATATTTTTATAATGTTACTTTTCCCTTCTTCTTCTTTTTTCATTTTTGTCTTTTTTCTTTCCTTGTGAATAATGGATAAGTTACCTGAAGCACAGAGAACAAATTTCTATGCTCACTCATTGGTAAAAAGCAACAGACAAATACTAAATATATATATATATATATATATAATTTCATCAACTGCTCTTTTTGACTTTCACTCCTGTTGTGATTTGCACATTGCATTGTATTTCATCTTATTTCATTTCATAAATATACATGTATGTTTAAAGTACCAAGGATTTTTGTCAACCTTCATTCAACAAATACATGGCAGTGAAGTGTTTAGTGTCACCATTTAAAGTTTGTAATGACCAAAATGTGTAAAACAAACAATACCAAAGGACTTAGTAAGTTTATGAATGTCCTTCAAAACTATAATAAAAAAAACTGCACAATACTTGTCATTGTATCAATTAATGACCATAATTTAGGAAATTGAAAATAAAGTAAACATGTAATGGCATAAGAATATAAAATTAGTATTTTGATTGTTTCTTTCCACAACTATTGCAACATAAAAACAAAGTCATCAAGAACATGAAAACATGGAAATATATAAATAAAGAAAAGTAAAAAAAAGTAAAATCAGTAGACTACCATGATATTCACAGAGAATCAGAATTTGGTAAACACAAAAATCACTGAAAAACTGAAAACACACAATCTCATATAGCTCAACCTTAATACAACAAATGTTGATAACCGAAACCTGATAAATCACTTAGTTTAACCTGTTTAATGCTTGGGATGGTTATATGTTAGTTATTCCTTTTGTGGGTCCACTCTCGTATCACAGAAACCATGTTGAACTCCACTCCATACCCAATATAAGACATATACCAATTTATTATTACTATTAATATTATTTTTCTTTATAAAATATATCTCCAACTGGTGAGTGAAGCATGACTCCACCTGAACTTTAAATCTTCAAACCCCACTCGCCCATACATCTAGTGACATGGCACCAACGAGTTTTGTCATCTTTGGGAACCACACTACCCTTTTCACACCACTCACAAAATAATTTCCTCCGCATAATTCTTGCAATGTCATAGCGAACGGATGAGCAAGGACCAACTATACAGCATAAGATTGGCCATAGGGTTCACTAGCACGGTATAAAATCCACCACATGGTTGCCCCCTATGGCCGTTACATTCTCCCCACAAACAGTAGAGGAGCACGGCATTAGGCCCACCATCCAGATAAGGACAGCGGAGGCCGGAATACTCAGCTAGATATGAATAGTGACTATTCTAAATATAGGACACACATGACGGTAATGTTAGCCCACCACGCAAGCGCGGGCAAGGCACTCCCGAATCGCTAAACTTAGAGGGGAATTGGCGAGCGGATTCCGGGAGAGTGATGTGCAAGATGCGTGAAATCGTCACAATTTCATCCATTCATTGGGTATTCCCGGTTAAATCCAATATGGGAACGGGGCGGACGAAGTGTTCTTCATCCGTCTGTTTTTGGATGATACCTTCTGGTTCGTTTTGAATGGTGTGAACTACAGTGGTTGGCTCTACGTTTAGCGGTGGTCCGGCGTATGGGACAACTCTATGCAAGGTTGGCGGTAATGGAGAATAAAACTTACATCCTATACATACATCCTATACATACAAACTGATTAAATAACATGGAAATTTCATGTATCATTTTCTACTTCCAAAATGAGCATATATAGCTCCCAAACTATCAAGCATACAGTTTTAGTGACAATTGACAGTATACTAATTTTTTGTGGTTATTTTTATTTTCTTTTATTTTATTTGTACCATTTTGTGAAGACAAAAGACCTTATTTTATTTTTATGTATGTGTTAATAAATTTGGAGATGTTTTAATGTTCTGATTGAGCAAACATGTGTAATATATATATATATATATATATATTTATATGTGTGTGTGTGTGTGTGTTTTTTGAACACCAAAGAACATGTAACACATAATTCTATTCCCAATTGTTTGTATTGTTCGTGATGATAATTGTTATAAAATGTGATACTTAATCTTATTATCACGTCTTACATAAATAAAATATTCAAAACTCATATACTATTATAAAAGATTTTTGTGGATTGTAATCTTGGTTTATGATTTTATAGTTTCTTTGCATTCAATATAAATATTTTTTGTATAATATAAAATTTTGAGATATATAATTTGATCTTCTTTCTTTCTTCATAGTTATACATGAATATATTAGAGGGTTTCAAACATGGCCTTTTCAAGTGATATTTTACCCATGATGCAAGCTCAAAGTATCTTGTGATATTTCACCAAATCACCTATCTCATGAGGTGGGTGATTTTGAAATTGAAATATCCAACGAGGAGCAGATCAAATATCAATAACTACAGGGCTTGCCTCTTTTGACTTGATACCAAGGGGATAATAGAGTTAGAGTCATGGAATAATATTAGAGGGGCAATTATGTTTGAGCAGTAATATTTTAGATTTGATATATTAAGTAATCCTCAATATCAAGTACTAAATTCCAATTACTTGGTTTTGCAAAAGTGCCATGTTTGAAACTCCCTATTTAATTTTTATAAGTGCTTACAAGTTCATATCTTTGGCACTACTTATATCATCTTTGAACTTCTAAAAACGTATTTTGTTATTTTTTTATATAAAGGAAAGTGATGTTTTTTTGAAATTATAATATATATATATATATATATATATATATTAGAACAATAAAAATCTAACTTTGAATTTATGTTATTTATTTTATTGCTTTTAGTAATATTAAAATTAAATATTATATTAGTAGAATATGTGGATCCATTAAAATGTGTAAAAAGTAACAAAATAGTATGGAGTAATTAACATGTAATCTAAAAAAACTAACAAAAAATGATAGATTATTGTGGTATCATATAGAAATGCATCCAAATAAATATAAACATGCAATTGGATCTTAATACAATTTTTTTCAGTTTTTAGAATAAATAGTAGATGGTCTGTAATATCTAATATCAAATATAATATTCTAGTTATTTATAATAGAGTTATAATGTAAGGCATACCTAAGTTTAAAGATCTCATTTTTTGAATAGATTTATACTTTATTTTTCAAGTTTTGTTTAATCCAAGTGTAAGAAGTTATGACTTTAAAAACATGGGTGCTATCTTTTTTCTTTTCTTTTTGCTTTTTTCTTAATATACTTAACAAACTCGTTTTTATAATGCTTAGTCACCATTGATCATACACCTTTGATCTTGTATATGTTTAATTTTTTCAGCCATGAGATTTGTTCATTTTTCTCAAAACATATCAAGCATACTTCTAATTAATTAAAAATCAATTCAATTTGCAGGTATCTTTATTGATATAATCATCAGTGAATGTTATGACTAAAGTTACAATTAAAATTTGAGATTACATGATACTGAGATTTGTTTGCCTAGAATATATATATATATATATATATAATCATTTGCATGGCAATAATTTGGTAAGAAAGCATCAGGGTTTTCATAAAAATAATTAAAATAAATACATGGCCTTTGTCATCATAGTTCAAAACACGACTACAAGCAAAACCCTTACTGATTCGTTATGAAGTTTTTAATTTTTAATTTTTAATTTTTTTAATTCTTTTACTTTGCAAATTTCACATCATTCAAGGTTCAAATTGTTATCATGCTCTTGACTGAAAGTTTCCATTGAAACGTACCACTGAGAAAGGAAATGAAATACAAATCACAACAATCGGATCAAGTCATAACCATACATGAAGAAGATCTTATCTTTAGTCTCACCTACTTGTAGTCACGAAAAGGAAACCAAGGAGCAATCAAAATAATCTATATTTAGACACGTATGATTACGAATCATGGAAAGCTGAGAAATTGTTCTCATTATAACAATCTAAAAAAAGAATAATGCATTACTTTTTTTTAATGTGCAACGAGTAGGATGAAATGGAATGCTAAATGCTAATTGGTGAATGAGTGAGTTTGCCCACCTCGCATACAACCCCCACCTTCGTCTCATTCCCACTGCTCTCCATAGTCCTGGGAAAGGAACAAACACTTCGCACCATCTAGGAATAGTCCATACTCAAAAATCCAACATGCCTAATACATGCTCCCCGTGAACCAAAAAAAAAAAAAAAAAAAAAAAATCCGGTGAAGAAAAAAGCATTCTCTTGCTAGCAGAATCGAGGCAACCCACACGACCAAATTAACAGAGATACTACTTCTTAACTTACTTTAACTGCAATGGTTTTGTTGTATTCGTTTAGTATAGTTTATTTTTATGGTTTTTGCATGGGGGCGACAATCTCGGGTCAATATGGAAACACGAATTTGGAGAGGCTAGGAAATGAGCATGTCGTGTAGCTTGAGAAGGATAGTGAACGGCAGGGCAGGGGCTTGGGCTGGGGCAGCCTTGTAGACCATTGACAAATGCGCGACCAGTCTGTCCAATGGAGGAGGAGGAGGAGCAGCAAACAGAGAAGAAACCGGGTTTTGGTTTGGCTGCTTCCGACTCATTTATGGAGAAAACTTACTGGCCATCCTAATCTCCTTGAGGGGTTGAGGGGAATAGCCGGTCCGGCGACCCGTGCTGGTTGTTATTGGTACCAAATCACTCGTCCGCTTTCTCGAATTCAACGAGATCTCTATTTCGGGTGAAAACGCGCTCTGGTGTATTTCGCGCTCCCTGTGTCTATGTGTGTGTGTGTGTCTATTCCCAGCGGAGCTCAGCTTCAGAACAACGCTAGACAGGGAGAAAGAAGGAGGGAGCGAGAGAGAGAGAGAGGCTGGCTCACTGTCCGTCTTGTCTTCTTCACTTGGAGACTCGTCTCACGGTAGATTTTTTACCTTGTTAAGATTGTATCCTTTTGATTCGCATCAGTGGAGTTGCCGAGCCTGGTGATGGTGGCGTTGTGAGAGTGGTCAGGGTTGAAATCGAGGTGGAAAGGGATGTAGTAGTAGGATGTGAGAGAGAAGCAAATGAAGAGAGTGTGGGTGTGTGAGTGTGCTTGTTTTGGTTTTGATTTTTTTGATTTTTTTTGATTTTGTTATTTTGTTTTGTTTTCCTCGAATTTTTTCCTTTTTGGATAATGAGTGGAATCCAGTCAGTTTCGACTGACAAGAGCTTTGCGGCTCTGAAAAGTTAGAGAGTTCCATGGATGTCTGTGGCGGAACGTACGCAGGTACTGCGTCAGTGATGATGTAGGAGGTGGGTTGAAGCCGTTAGAATATAATGATGATTTTTTGATGTTATGTTATTTGTTTTCTTTTGCTTGTTAGATTTTGGTTCGGTTTGTTTTGTTTTGTTTTGTTTGTTTGTTTGTTTGTTTTTTTTGTTTTTTTGTTTTTTGTTTTGTTTTGTTTTTTTTTTTCCGGCTCTTACCTTGGCGGTTTTAAGTGGAGGGCTTATCATAGCGGTCGTGACAGGAAAGAGCAGATAAGTGGGCCATAATGGGCGCGTCGTGAGAGAGAGAGAGAGAGAGAGAGAGATTCACCGGAAACAGTGCATAGATTGAAGTTTTCTACAAGAGGGCGGACGGAATCGCGATTTAGCATCCTCGGTATTGATCTTGTTATATCTTGGATTTTTTCGTATAGCTTTCGTTGGAGTGTCGACACAGGAGGGTTCAGAGCGTTTTTGAGAGTTCAGGGTGATTGATGTATTATGATTTTAATTTTTTGTACGATAGTCGCTTGAGGAATCTTTAGTTCGAGGCTCGAGGGTTACATTATGGTACATCAAAGAATTTTGTAGGCCGCAGAGGTTATCGATTAGCAGAAGTATATTCTGTGTTGAATTGGCTGTTCTTGAGTTGGCATCACTATTTTGGTTCTGGTGCATTAAAGAAGAATCTTCAGCTGCAGCGACGGCAGTGGACGTGAATGAGAGTGGATGATCGTTAGTGTCAATTGTGAAGTGGACGAGTCGAGAATGAGATAGGTTGTGGTGCGAAGACAGAGCAATGTGTTAGTCTACTGAAGGAGAGGGAAGCATCAGTGCTAGCGTAAACGTCCATGAGTAGTTTCTCAGGCCCTTGCGGGCGTTTAGAGATTTGAATCTTTCTGCGTTATGGAGTTGTCGAGGTATTGATTACGCTGCACATTGGGAATAACAGGTTGATGGAGGATAGGTGAGTGGATGATATTTTTCGTTTACGGGGTGTTGATGAATCCTGGAAGTCTGGAAAGCAACTCTAGTCACGTGACTACGTTTTTGTTTCTTGAGAGATTTGATCTGCTCGAAACTGCGGGTTAAAAAGAGTTTTATCACTGTGTTGGAAGAGAGTAATCCTTTGACGATCGAGAAGAGATCGGGTGGCTGATACGTCGAAAGCAAGTTTGTGGAGGCACGATGAGTGTGGTGATCATGAAACTGATGCTCTTACGGAATGAGTTATCGTGGTGATAAAACTGGTACGAGACTTTGAGACAGTATTTCAAAGGACATTTTCCGTGCGGATTATTGCAGTAGTATCCGAGGTGATGCAGGACAGTCGTGGAGATTCACATAGAAAATCTCAGCCTCGAAGAGCGAACATAATTGTAGGGAAGGGCTCGAACTTGTCTAGGAATCGCAGTCAACCCCTCACGTGGAGCCGAATATTCCTTGCAAGTGACCATGCGGGGCAAGAGGGGCCGACACGAAAAAGACCATATTATTGTTATTTGAGAAACATGTTGCTTTTTAAAAGTGAAAAGTAAACCTCAAATCAAGTCGGCAACCAGACATGGCAGTCGCTCCCGAGTGGTCGCTCGATATGGTGGATTTTCAGCAGAGTTCTATGTGGCCTGCTACAACGCAGGCCCTTTTGAAGACAGACAAGCGGAGGCAGCTACTGCAGCCTACGATAGATCTGGAGCAGCTCCTTGACAGGGACAACACATTTATCGATCAGCAGAAGTTCGAGGATTTGATGAAGTCCAGCAAGGCAGGAAAAAATCATAGAGAAACTCTTGCGAGAATATGGAAAAACCACCAAGCCAATGCAGTCGGTCTGCTGAGAGAGCAACTGGATTCCTTACAACAGAGAAGGATTGAATCCGAACGAAAGAAAAAGGAAATCCTACATGAACTTACCGCGGAATGTCTTGCCAGCTGTCCAGATGGTGACGACGAAATGCTAGATCCTGTTAGCATTGGCGAGGGTTTTATGTGCAATTCTGACGTAGCGAGTTCGTGTAGTTCTGTTCCTGACAGTGCGAGCTCGTTGTCCGACTATGAAGTAGAGAACTCCTCTGATTATTGGCGAGAAAAGGCCAAAGCTTTGGACACGCTTTTGTCAGAAAGTCTGAGAAGGGAGGAATTACTCTGTACAAAATTGCAGGCTTCTGTAGCAGAGTTTCCTTCTCGTCTGACGGGCGAACTCCAGCAGCAATTTGAGCGGTTTGACAACTTTCTACGGTTCACCTTGAGGAAAGCGCCTGTAGTTTGTTGCCATCAGGTATTTGGAATTTCCCTCATCTGTTCCTCATTCTTTGCAGCACGCCTTCTTATCTTCTGAAAAAAGTTTCGTGTGTCTTGCTTAGGACGCTATTCTCTATACTTAAAGAAATTATGTTTGAATTTAGTTATTTTTGGGTCTTATGTCCTTTTCATGAAATAATTGGTGTTTCGAATACAGGATACAGAGCTGCGTTATCGATTCATTCATAATGCTTTTCCAACACTCACTGAAGAGGTTAGTTATTAATCTCGTCTTATTCCCTTATTCGCCATGAAATCTTCTGAGTCGGGCGCTGCAAATGTGTAGATGAGATGTGCCGATCGATGCTTCAGTAATTTTGTCTCTAATCTCGGCAATTCGCTTTGGTTGTGATCATTCGCTTGTTGTTGCTGGGTGTTGAGCCGCCTGGCTGAATGTGATCAAACGTATCTATGGGATTACCAAGATTTTTATTTTTATTTATTTTATTTATTTCTATCTGTACCTTCACTGGTCTAATTGGAGATTTCTTTCTTCATTACCATCGTTCATGCCAACATTGCCAGGTCGATATGAACGATTAATTAATACCATTGGAATTAGGATCTGAAATAATGAGAGCGTTTGTGATGTTGTCAGGCAGGAATTGTGACTTATTCATTTTCAAATTAGTCTCATCTGAAGATTTGTTGGATGCTGCTTTACAATGATACAAAGTAGGAGGGTTCCAACATTTATTTTGTGAGCCCAAAGTAAAAGACAGATTCCAGATGTCAGATGTCCTGTTATCTAGCTTATGGCAAATGTTTTATTTGTGTTGATTAGTTTTAATTCACAGATGTCTTGGAATTAGATAAATTATCCAATAATTTTAAGAAAATGATTGTTTTCAATTATCTCACATGAAAAAAAATAAAATGTTCGGTACATATTCTGAGCTTTTAGTGTTATTTGGATTAAGGTGTTCGTAAACGCCTGTTGTGTCGCAATGCAACTTAAGCTAATTTGATTGAGAAAACTTCTCGTCAAGAGGTGGCTTCGTCCGCCCTTTTCACATGCAGCCATTAGAATCATTGAGCTACCTCTTCCTGTTGGTTCTAGAATCTTTCAATGTCGATTTGGCAAGTTTCTATTCTCTGTACTTTTCTCGGCGGAAGAAACCGTCCTATACATGTGAGAAGATTTCAAAGACATTGACAATCAATTAATCTGGCAGGAAGTCATAGGAAAGACGGACGAAGAGATTTACCAAGGGGTGGGGGTTGCAGAGGTCATGGAATTCAAACGTGAAGTAATTCGAACTAAAGTCCCTGATAAGCAAGAGATAAAGTTTAATACGAATATGTTTGGTAACAAGACATTTTTAGTCGCTGTTGAACCTGTACTGGACATAAATGATGTCTGCGTCGGTGTGAATTGTGTTGCCGTGGACGTAACTTTGCAGGTACAATTTTCTGTGTACTTTTTTTTGATGATAAGATTGCTTAGAACACTTGTGAGAAAGTATGCACGAGCTTGAATATGCATGTTCATGGATGGATTTTAGGTTAACAGCCATCATTTTTCAGGTGGCCAAGAGGGAAAAGCTTGAGAAGATTCGAGATGAAGAAGCCGTTCAAATTGCAATGGAGTCTGAACTGAACAAAACGATCCGTATAACAGGTACTAAGGTCATTTGAGCTTCTTAAACCTACTACTCCTCTTTTTCGATACATCAGAGAGTTGGTACATTTCATTCTCTTGCCTGGTGCGTTCTGTCTGGATTTTACGAGTACGTCATTTCCTCAGTTTGTGCTTGGCGTTTGTACGACTGCCTCAATAACAATCTGTTTGTACTGGATTGCAGAGGAGAATATGAGAGCTAAGCAAATGCTGGCAACAATGGCGCATGAGATTCGCTCTCCTTTGTCGGGAGTGATAAGCATGGCTTCAGTTTTGGCTCGAACTCCATTGAGCGAAGACCAAAAGCGTTACGTTGAATTCATGATGACATCAGGAAATGTTGTATTGGAGCTTATTAATGACATTCTTGACATTTCTAAAGTTGAGGCCGGTATGTTCCATCATTCTCAAGTCTTTCCTTTGCTGATGCCATCTCTTTGAGCGCCTACAGTAGTATCGCGTGTAAGAGATATTAGATTGCGATTTACGGTGTTTAGTCAGGCTTGTACTACCTCGTGGGACCTCGATGAGCATCCAAATAGTGTAGAACGTTCCTTGGTTTTTTCAAGGATTATGGAGAACCATGGTTTGAAACAGGAATAACGTGCATTGTTTTTAATGATCGAACTTGTTCTTACCTGCTTCGTTCTTTTCAGGTGCGATGACATTTGAAGAAAAGAAGTTTCGACCAAGAGAAGTAGTGAGACATGTACTGCAGATGGCATCTGCTTCTGTAGAAGCAAATGACAAGACCCTTAAGCTCGAAACGGACGTTTCTGAAAATGTTCCCCTTGAGGTGGATACTTATTCTTAAGCTTTTTTCAGTCGACCTTTCGAGATATCTTCTATTGGGATGGTAGAAACCTCTGCTTCATTGTCATTTTTTGAAGTTCGCATTGCTGTTTTGTTGAATTTATTCTTGAAAAATTTGGATGGTTTTCTAGGTCGTCGGCGATGTACTCAGAATTCGTCAAGTCCTCACCAACTTAGTCAGGTACCAAATATTTCAAATTCACGACGGAACCTACTAAATTTTTTCCTGGATTTAGTCATATTTATAGCTTAAGGGTTGTTTCGGGTGGTTTTGTAGGACCTTGTTGCGGTTGCGTAATATGATGTTTTTAGTTGTGTTAGGGTAGGTTTAACTTGATATTTCATGTGGGAATGAGATGACTTATTTATCTGAAACTCTTTCTACAACAACCACTAATTTTTGCAGCAACTCAATCAAGTTTACTCACGAAGGCAAGGTGTCCATTGTCGTGCGTGTTGTTGGGCCTCCGTCGCACACCACTCGGGACTATATGAAGCCCAAACAAATGAGCGAACGTGATTGCAGTGAAACTTCACAACAATCTTTAGAGGGCTCAGCATTTCATGTTTCTACGCCAGCCAACTCCCCTTCCGAAGCTCCTTTAGTTCATGGAAACGTGTTTGCTAAACCCATGCCAAGTTCTGTCAGCAGTAATCGCAATAACTTTCCAGAGTCAACTCTCAAACCACACTCGCGAGTCGAATGCGGGTTCTCTTCTTCTGCTTCCAGGGAGTGTCAAAATTGTGGAACTCAGAACACTGTGACTGACAAACTCTCGAACGATTTTCAGAGAAGTGAGATGTCTGGCGATATAATTAGATCCTTAAACGAACAGCAGACGAGAGAACAGGTTAGTGCATCAGCTGTCTCTAGCGGATATGCTGAGTGTCACAATGATGGATCAAACAAGTATAAAGACCTGGAGGATAGCATGTGGATAGAGTTTCGCATTGTTGATACCGGGATTGGTATTTCAGGTACCTTCATCTTCGATTCTTGCATTTTCATCTATTTTTGAAATGACGGTTGTAAGTTAGGTATCCAGGAGTTGTCAAACGTGTTACTAACCGTCACTGGGTAATTGTGACCGGGTTTGTTACGAGTGGCAAATTCGGTGGTGTCATAGTTCCCAGATTTCTTTCCGTACAATTCCTTAAATGACTGAAAGTTCGACTGATTATCTCATATCATTTTTTTCAGATTCAGCAATTCCAACACTGTTCAGAAGATACTCTCAAGCAAGTAGCACACATGCTCGTGAGTATGGTGGCACTGGACTTGGGTTGCATATCTGCAAACAGCTGGTATGAAGTAGGTTTTAGTTTGTCTTTGGTTAAGTGCTGCTCACTTGCTCACGTACTCCTCATTTCTATGAAGTTGTTGGACTAATTCACGAACTTCATTTACAAGACGTTTACTGATAATTGTGGTTCGAAGGTTGAATTGATGGGGGGCAGTATTAGTGTCTCGAGCAAAGAAAACGGGGGATCTACGTTTTCGTTCAAGTTACCACTCCGAGCTGTTGAGCACTTGCCAAGTAGTCCTATTTCTGGTGGTGATCCTGAGCGCATGATCGAGCAAGACCATATGGACAATATGTGTGCGGAAATGCCCGAGTCTTTGCAGTTCAACTCTGAGAAGCCTGCACAACATCACCATCCATATCTTTCAACCAGAGGCAACGTTCCTCGTGGCCTTCAACAGTATCCTAAACCTGCGTTTAATACTCTCCTCCCCATGAATTCTGATCATGAGAAGTCTTCCACCGCGTTTCTTCGCGACAAGCGGGAGCTGCATTCGACAATGGAGCCGACGTCAGCCGTTGAAGCCAAGCTTGTACAATTTGAGGGTTACGGAAATTGTCGTGGACCTCACAGTTCAGCGCTTTTGGATGGTCAGGGAGCATCTTTACGTGCTTCTTGTGGCGTCTTTACGTGCCCCTTTGATGGAGATGAGTCTACGAAATCATGTCACCGTTCTAACGCTTCTTCGGCCAAAAGATTCCATGGAGGACCTGTACCTTACAAAATGCGCTCTCCATCACGACAAGGCAATTCCAGAAAGTTTGTAAAGGCGCATCGCAACAAGAGAGCTGGTTGTGAACCTTCACCTGCCTTTTCGAACGTAGCAAGAAAGCGACTAAGCATTTTAGTGGCTGAAGATGATCCAGTGAATGTGAAATGTACCACCCAAATGCTTTTGACTTTAGGGCATGAACTGAAGGTGGTAAACAACGGAACAGATGCAGTACAAGCAGTACAACAAGGCTCGTATGATGTCGTGCTCATGGTAAGCAAAGTCCTCGACACAGTTCTGATCGTTCAAATCGGTAGTTCTGAAGAGCAGCAATAGTTTTAAGATGATTTTTGTAATTATTATTATTGTTATCCTTAGTCGTCACTGTGTCTGAGCCCTGATGTTCTCAACATTATCCCTTAGCTCGAAGATTCATCAACAACCTTTCCAATTTCAAATTAATGGCTAGGGTTTATCAATGCACTTGATGTCTGTATGCTATGTTCTCAACTTCGTACTGATCTTTTGTGCTCCTGGTTCAGGATGTTCACATGCCTGTTATGGATGGTCTCAAGGCAGCTCAACTCATAAGGATGTATGAAGAAAATTGTTCTTCTGCTTCAATTAACGACCCTATACAAACACAGCAAGGAGCAGCTGCAGCAAGCGACATGGGGCCCCAGAGGATGAGGAGAGTACCAATTATTGCGGTATGACGTCTGTGGCATATTCTTCTTTCTTATGTTCGTTTGTCCGCTTTCCTAGCATGGATATATTTGATCATTCTCGACAATATTTTCGCTCCATTGTCGCTTACCTTCTTTCAAATTACTTCGCAGATGACAGCTGATGCTTTGACGAAAAACATTCAGGAGTGTGTCAAGTATGGTATGGATGACCTCATTACTAAACCGGTCAATGTAGGAATGCTTGAGGAACTACTTAACCAGTACTTGTTCAGATTAGACAACCAAATGTAACGGTGCGGGGCGAGCAAGCGTCGCAGAGCTGCAGGCGCTGCTCGCCCATCAAGTAGGAATGAAACGTAAAAGAGACTCAGAGAATTTGTGAGCATCATGGTGGAGTTCCGCAGTCAGCTGGTCAACAGGGATAATCTCCTGATGTTTTTGAGACGAAGTCTCTCAATCCAGTACAAATATTGCTCGTAGTTCTCATTGTATTTCGACATCTTTTTTTTCTCATTTTGTGGATAGATGTAGGATAGGATAATTAGTGTTATGAGGTAAGAAACGATGGCTTGGTTTAGTCCACACTTCACCTAACGACCGTTGAGGCGCCCATTTCTTCCTTCTAGCAAGGTTGAGACTGATTCCCATTAGAGTAAAAGACCCTTGGGTCTCTTAAAAGTGTTGGGCGGTCTTGTACACAATTCTAGCTCAAAGCGTATATATTTCAGCAGTGGAAAGAGAGTGGTGGGATTCTCGACTCTGGCATGTGATGGATTGTTTTGCACTGTTTTATGAGTTCTTTGGCACATTGGCTCCCAATTGCAGTGTGATATTATGTTATGTTTGTAGATAGAGTGTAGTTTGAATATAATGTTGAAATAGAATGCATGAAAAAGATCCTCAAACTTATTAAATCCTTAAGTGTATGAATTGTTATCAACATGCAAATGAATCAATTTTCTATGTTATTGCTTATATATTGAATTTCATATGATATTAGAGCTGAGTTTAGAGAGTTTGTGAGCAAATTATCTTTATAATAGCTGGAGAGTAGTTTCTATGTACATTTTGTTGCTAAAGAGTGCAATTATTGAAGCCTAGTAAAAAAATGTCAAGTTCTAATGACCCTGTAGGTTGGCTAAGCCAATAAGTTGGTTGGTGAAGATAATTTTCATGTATAAATCTTGAAGGTGAATACCTTGCAAGCTGAAAATCTATGAGATCTTACCATTGAGAAACTCTCACTATCAACGTATCTATGTACACATAGCAAGTGTACATTGTTAAAAATTCAAGTATGAGAGATGAAAGCAAAGGCTATAAAGATATTGACTTTTGCTGTAAAAGACTTAATAGACACAGTAACAAAATATGAAGACCTTGTAGATGCATGGAAGGCATTAAAGAATAAGTATAAAAGTAGAGATCTTGCTATAGTACTCAATCTCAACTACAAACTATCTATATTGAAGTTTCATAGTTTTTCTCTATAGAAGAATTCTTGAGGACAATTTGTGAAATAAACAATCAACTTATAACACTTGGTGAGAAAGTTCCAACCAATACTCTTGTGCAAACTATTTTGAATGCCTTGCCTCCTTCTTATGATAGTCTGGTATATAATTTAACATCAACATATCAATTCCTAAGTTTTAAAAGAATATCATAAAAACTTATAATAGAAGTTCACAAATTGTAGTTAAGAGCTAATACCAATGACAACTTTAAAAGTGAGGCTCTATCCATGCAAATTTTAGTAGTACACTTTAACATAAGATATATAAGAGGAAGAAGTTGCTTATCTTGTAGAGAAAGATGTTCTTTCTTGAAAAAGCAAGGAATAATATTAAGTCTTTATTATGAAGATGGCATGTGCTTAATCTATTATTATATTTTTGGAGAACAAAATCCCATGGTCGAGGACAATAGATTTAGAAAATCACCACCAAATGTCAATAAATTCAAAGCAAGTATCATTGAAGCAGAAGACAACTCATCAAACTCGAAATAAGAAAAAATGTTTCAAGAAGTAGAAGTAAAATTTATCAAAGCCACAAAAAGAAGAAAGAAAGACTTTAGTTAGTATCTTGACAATGGAGCTTCATAACACATAACTACTAATAAGTTAGCATTGAAATCTCTCAAATCAACAACTATCTTGTACCTTCTTTGAAGAAGAGCTTACTGTCAATAAATTTCTTTGTAGATGAAGAAAATATTGTGATTTTTATAGCTAACAATATAAATTATTATCTTACTTAGATTTAAAGAATATGGAAATAGCAAAAAGATTTGCAAATTCAAAGAAGCTCTATGTTGTCTTCAATAGTCTATTTATACTTGATATGGAAGAATTAACAAATATCTACAAAGCATTAGACTAAGTAAGTCATTTATAAATTCCAACCTCTATATTTGTTATCATAAAAATTTGTATATATTTTTATTATTCAATAAAGATGATTGGATAATAATAAAAAATGGTAATTTTTTTTTGAAGATTGATAAGAAATTACTAATTGAGTTTATAATTTTAAGTATAGAAGTTGATCAAAATTATTTTGGTATCAAATTCAAACATTATGAATATAAAATATCTCTTCATCATAAAATTTATGTAGACATTGTGCTTGATAGATTTGAAATACTACCCTACAATCCTAGCACAATTCTTTGGATGGAGGAACAAAACTTTGGCATGATATTGGCGGAAAATTGATTAACAATACTAAATATATAAGACTTGTTGGAAGTCTTTTGTACTTATCATATATAGAAAGACTTGATATTTATTTTGTAGTGAGTACCATAAGTCAATAATTCACAACACTATAAAAATCACATTGGAAGATTGGAATATATATTTTAAGATATTTAGAAGGTATTGCTAATCTAACAATCTAATATCTAAATAAAAAATTAGGTAAACTTGTTGCTTATGCTAGTATTGATTGAAAACAAGATATTGACTTGCAAAGATCAACCTTTGGTCTTTTGTATATAATTGGAAATACTACTGTCAATTAGAGCTCCAAATTACAAAGCATTGTCATTGTGTTCACCATTAAGGTAGAATACTAAGTATTATTTGAAGCTGCAAAAGACATCATATGGCTACAAAGACTATTCAAAGATTTATATATTCAAGTCAATGAAGCAATACCAATCATGAATGACAATCAAAGATGTATAAAAATAGTAGCTAATCTAATATTACATGCAAGAATCAAACACATAGAAATACATTTCTATTTTATTTGAGAAAAGATATAAATTGGAGAAGTTGAAATTTTATATATTCAAATGGAAAAACAATTGGCATATATACTAACTAAACCAGCCATTAAAATGCGACATGTCAAACTAACAAAGAGATGGAATTAATTCACCTTCCTTTCTAAAATCTATACTAATAGTACATTAAAGTTGCAACGTATTTGTAGACAAAAACCTTACTTGTTAAATATTTCTATATTTTTTCTACAAAATACTATAAATAAACTATACTTATTCTTAAATCCATGTAATAAATACTTAGATTGTATACTTTTAGCTATAACATATTGTTAATAGCCAAGAACGTCAACTTTTATATACATGAAGATATTCCAGTGATCTTTAGATTTTATTTCCCTCTTTCATTTCTTATTTAAACCTTATAATCTTATAAGAAGAAAAAGGTTATTGATTCTTAATAGTCTACTTAATATATATATATTTTTTTATAAAATTGATATCAACTTTTACTGATGGAAGCAATACATTAGAAGGAATAAGATATATATAGATTTTATTGTAAAAGTTAGGATCAAAACCTATACCAGAAGATAAGCTTTGGTTAACTTCAAAACAAAGATTTTTGAGTTGATCTAGAGACTTGAATAATAAGTAATATGTATATGTGATTATAGAATTACAACACTTCTTCAAAAATGTGACCAAAAACCACACACCTAGCAAAAATACTTCACAATGATTTAATGATAGCATGTGTTATACAAAAACAACTAGAAGAATATCAACAATAAAATAAGAAATTAAGAAAATTTACCAGAGTGAGGCAGTTGACCTATTTGTTCAATACGCACATGAAGAAGAATGATATTGCATGAGAGCTTTGTTACATGAAAAATAAATAATGAGAGGAAATCATAAACAAGAGATGTATTGGCAAAAAATGAATGTCTAGTATTTCTTCTTCTAACTCGCTTGATACCTACTTGAGAACCTTATATACATGGATGAATTCAATATCTACATAAAATACCATAGTCAAGGTATTAGGTGATATGTTTGAAGATAGAGTGTAATTCAAATATAATGTTGAAATAGAATGCATGAAAAGATCCTCAAACTTATCAAATCCTATAGTGTATAAATTGTTATCAAAATGCAAATGAAACAACTCTCTATATTATTACATATTCATTGAATTTCACAAGATAGACTTCCAAACTGTCAAACTTTTTGGCAAGAGGTTATTGAAATGCCGAATGGGGAAAAAAAAACAAAAAAAAAAAAAAAAAAAAAAAGAAAGAAAGAAAGAAAGAAAGAAAGAAAAAGAAAACAACATTTTTTTTGTAGGTGGGGGTTGAGTGTACTATACGAAACTTCGAAATAATCGGCACAAATAGAAGTGTAACATTCTTGTCCACCGACGAAAATGTCGTATTACATATCTAACTATGGATGCCGAATCTCTGTTGGCCACCTGGTCATCATCAATAAGAAATCTCCTCATCACTCAAGTCTAGAGAAGCTCCGATGCTAACATACAATCGCGTGGGTTATCGCCATTTGTTGTAACTACATGCTTCTCGAGTCCTCGAAGAAAGTAGGAGCTCATACCATAGGAGCCATTAAGTCTCGGTGCTCAATCATGTTGGTTCAGCTCATACGTTCATTGTGTTGGGGTTTTGGAATTCTGGGTTTCGGGTGTCTCTTTCTTCTTCGCTTCGGTGTGTTCTGCGACTTCACTGTCATCGGACCATTCCGACGGACGTTATCTTGTTAGCTTTGATGGTTGCTAGAGGAAGGCGTGAGGGTATTGTGATTAGCACATGACTTGTGAAAACGTGTTTTCTTTTAGTTGTGGGTTTTCGTAATTATAAATTGTTGTTCGTCTTTCGCCCTTTGTGAATTTTGAGTGTTGGAATTGAAAGTGATGACATCCGATTTTTGCGTTGCAAGGTAGGTGGATTGCGGACAAGGAGGCACAGGGAGCGAGGATCGGGAAAAAAGGGTGTTGTGTTGATTTTTACCAGCGCGATTTTGGTCCATTTCTGCGGTATGGTCCTGAGGGCAATCCATGCGAATTGAAGTTGGTTCGTATTGGTTCTCCACCTCAGAAGGAGCCTCATGGCACCCGAATCCAAGCTAGGCTCTGCATCTGTTCAGGGAAGGAGTCAGCTGGGAGTTTTTGGTAAGGGCTTCCAGGTTGATAAAATTCGCTGGGAATGGCCAAACCCTAAAGGTGAAGGGCTACAGAAGCTCATGTCCCACGAGCCCATCGCCGGGATGCTCAATGCTGTCGGGAATGCAGTTCAATGTGGTCATAGAGCATGGGAAGGATTGGTTCAGCAAGGGATTCGCTCAACTAACCTTTGCAAAATTGAGTTGCCAAATTTTTTGAGAGGGAAGGAGCGCCAAGCATCACAAGTTCGAGAGCTGGTTGAAGAGCAGGAGGAGCCTGCGAGAGCCGCTGTTTCACCCGCCAAGTATAACATTAATTTTGCCAGCATGTAATTTGAATTGTTTTCTCCTTACGAGTATGCGGCTTGTGACTTTTTGTGGGCTTGAAAGATTCCTAGATCCGACCTCTGTCTCTGACCTTTGAATTTACGTTACATGAAATTACGAAATTGAATGCGGGAGATTAGGTTCTTTTGCAGCTTTGTTACGAATTATGCAGTTGTCTGATTATTGATTCAACAATTTTATGCGCAGCGTTTTAATGGCTCAAGGCGCAACGAATGCAAATGCCGCTTACACAGGTGTAAATGGAAGTCAACAGGAGGAGCAGACGGAGTCTTTTAGATTCCCGGAGTTTAGGGTTCCAGAGGTAGTTCTCTTGGTGTGTAATAAGCATTGCAATAAAGGAAGCTTAAACCTCACTGCGTAAATATTCTCGAGCACGCCATATCATAGGGAGCACTATTAGCGACGATTCAATTCTAGCTGCTCTGCCTTGTTACCAACCGATTTTGAAGTGTTGTCGATTGTATTTAATTGTTGGCAGATAAGTTCTGGAGGAGCTGTAACAAAAGAAGACCTAGGTCGAGCAACATGGACATTTCTCCACACACTGGCAGCTCAGGTGCATCTCTTCTTTCCTCTTTCATGAATTGGGTTTCTTAATTTTTTTTGTTTTGGATGAGCTTAATCTGTCAGAATCCTGTTTATTATTCTTTATCCACTGGTTAGTTTATCTATTTTATTCTGTAATCGAATTCTAGTAGTGACGCCCCGCAACTGTAAAATAAGTTCAATGCAAGTTTCACGCAATGGACACTAAGGAGTGAATGCTTGGTGATCAACAGTACCCTGACAAGCCCACAAGACAACAACGACGCGATGTCAAAGAATTGGTGTGATTCTTTCTCTCTTAGATTAGCTTCTAATGGAACGTGTATGTGCTGTGGCCAACGATCCTATCTTCGTTTTCGCTTTCGCTGGAGGCATTCATAAGGTCTATCTTGATGCGTCGCTGAGTCATGTATGGGGCATGTTGCAGATGTCTATTATGACCAGGTTGTACCCTTGCAAGACGTGTGCTGATCATTTCAAGGAAATACTTAAGTAAGTGTCTTTAGAGTCGCAGTTACCTAGTTGTCTGTCCTTATTCGTCTCTGTCAGTTAACAGTTTTGTGTAATTTCCTTTTCCTATGTTGTATCACTTTTTTGTTAACAATTCTTATTGATAAGTGATTTCTAGGCACATCAAGTCTACTTCAGCCATGTCATGCGTTTCTTGACAATTGAATTACTGCACTGACGTGGTTGATAATAGAGCCTATCCAGTCAAAGCTGATTCCGGAGCTGAGTTAGCGCAATGGATGTGCCAAGTACACAACGTCGTGAACAGAAGGTGATTACTCCTCCCGTTGGTTTGCTTGAATCTGTGCCTAAATTTCTGCAATTTCAATCCTTTTTGGTGCTTCCTTGATTGTTGATTAAATTTTTGGTCCCTTGCACTCCAGTAAATGATTCTGTTTCTTGAGCTACTTCTGGTCCTATTATATGAGTCTCATGCTTGATACAAGACTCCCTTAACAGGACTAGAAGAGGTTTTGTTTAGTAGATGTATTGTACCTCGGCACATAAAGTATGTATCGAACGTGCTATTCAAGTTGTACTTTTGACGTATATTCTTTTGGTATTAGTTTGGGAAAACCACATTTTCCTTGCGAGCGGGTGGATGCGAGATGGGGAGCACTTCATTGTGATGAAGCTGGTGCATGCGATCTTGAAGGACGTGTTCTCTATAGATAGCTATTTTAGTGGAAACACAAATGGCTTAGACAATTTCGAATGAAATTCAAAATTAAACGCCAATCGATAAGCTTAAAGGTATTGGACTCGTTGGAAAGTGATTGTAAGGATTGTGTCAAAGTGATGTGCTTGAGATTTGCTTCTACGAATTGAGGTCTTCGTTAAAGAGTAATTTAATACTGTAACTCTGTAATTATATCTGTAGCTTTGTTCAATCATAGTTTGCACATTATAACATAACGTTACCATTTCTTCACTCATGATTAGAAATCCTTTTGACCACAACACTTCTTATAACCATCTTTTACAACTTCAATAAAAAATATCAATACATATTTTTCTATGCAAAATTTATATCTAAAATTACAAATTCTAAATAGTTGAAGTAAAATTTGTGACTAAAATTTGTAAATTATTGCATCCAAATTATTAGTTTTAATACCAACAAAAGCTACAATAATAATAGGATAAATAGTATATATATCCTTGAAATATGTTCAAATATTAAGAATATTCATGTATTCTTAATAATACCAAATCTACCCTTCAACCTAATAAGATATCACAACTATTCTTTTTTAAGTGCAACTAAGGCCATACTTGCATGCTACAAAGAAATTGGTGAGCCTTCTTCATCAATTCAAGATATATATATATATATATATATATATATATATATCTCCAAAATATTTGTTTAGAAGAATACTAAATCATATGGATATGTGTTTTTTGCAGCTTCCAATGAAGCTGACAACTACAATGTTCAATTCAAGCCATGATATGTAATCAACACAACAACCTAACTTCATACTTCAATATTTCAGCAAGAATTTCATCACATCTCAATAATACCATATTACTTCATACCTTCTCTCGTATCTCTTAAATTACCTAATATTTGTTGGCACAAAAACAAATATCCTTCTTAGTTTGTAATAGTGACAGCCATGTCAAAGACTCCAAACAAGAGTTTTGAAGTTATCAAAGACTTTGTTTAGAATTGAAGAATTTCTACTTTGGCACATCATTTAGAATATAAACCAAACTCTTTTAGTACAAATGATTTAAAAGCATGAGTGCAATGCTAAAATTTAGTATTCTTTGCAAAACTTGGGAGTGAAACCAAGTCCATTTGGTAGTGAGTTTGTATCTTATAGCTTCAAATTTTGAGTGTTTTTTGCCATAAGTTGCTCACAAATTAGAATGTACAAAATTTGCTAAGAATTCAATAAAATTTAGATGCCAACAAACATTGGATTTGAATTAAATACAAGGTCAAAGAGTTCATCAACTAATTGATTATACTTGCAATAATCTGAATTGATCCTGCAATGATGAAAGATCCAAAAATTTGTTATAGATGGATATAGATCATTCAACTTTGCTATTTGTTTTGAATTTTAATGTGACATATTTATGAATATAGTAGTTGGTTGTTTAGAAACTATCCATTTAAATTAACTAAAAGATAGAAGAATATATTATGAATTATATTACTTATTTTTATTTCTTTAAAAATATAAGAGATTGCTTGTTTTTTTTTTTTCAAAGATTTTTATCATATGCAAGTTGAGGTGAATGTAATTCAACCACTATTTATTTTAGATTAGGGCATGTACTTTATAAGGTGGTTGAAGAGAAAAAGATGTTGATGTAGCTAATATATAAACAACTTCACAAACTTGTTGCAAACATGGAGCACTATTGTAATGTAGGCCAATTGATTGCTAAATGGTAAGTATTCATGTGTATTGTGCTTACTTTAAGTATACAATTAGATTGATGTTAATATGATATTGTTTTAATGCATATTCTTATTTGTTGTTTTAGTAGAAAATTAGCCATTAGATTGATAACTAAGATGGTTGGTAGTAAGAATTAGGATAAAGATAGAATACATTACATGTGGTGGATTTTCATCTTCGAGTACTTTTGGTGATATTTTTGAGGTATCAAGGTGATTTAAGTGATTGAAGAGAGGCATGTAGGAATAATTATTGTATCTTTTGTTTTGGATAATAAAAAAGGCAAAATTTGGATCTTAGATTAGAATTGATTGTGTTGTATAAAATAAGATTGTAACACACAACATATTGAATGCTATCAACCAATCATATAGTATGTAATTTAAATCAAATGAAAATACATATTTAACACATTTTTAAGATTCAAAATCTATACCAAATTAAGTCAAGCTATCTTTTATACCATAAAGGAAGAATTTAAAAGTTCAAGTATGAAAATAAGAAAAAACCTAAAGCTTTATTAAAATGGCTAAGACATAATAGCTAAGAAAATCCTTACAACAAGTTCTTTCACTCTCAAAATCAATTACAAAACTTGACTTCATAAAAATGTCAAGTCAAGGATTTTTCTCTACTTAAGCACTTCAATCTTAATTGATATGAATGAGTTATTTAATAAAAAAATATTAATAGATAAAAAACCACTAACTAAATTAAATTATATACATCCAATAAGATTTGGCATACAATGCCATATCATATAAACAAAGATTATTACACAAAATACATCAAGCGCTATCAACCAATTATAAAATATGTAATTTAAACAAATACAAATGCATACCTAACACACTCTCTAGTGCACTCTCTAATTGATTAGTAGCCTCTCTAATTAACTAGAACTACAAACATATATTATTAAAGATGAATGCTACTATGATGTGAATGTCAAATTATACTCTTCCAAATTTAGTATTGTAGCAATTAGACCATCAAAGTGTGTGACATATACAATAAAAAAAAAAATCTTCAATCTTTATCAAGAAATGAGGCATGGCTAAAAGACTTCTTATAATAAGGACAAATCCTATTTCTTGATAGAAGACTTAAAAGAAGTGGTGTCAAATATGCCATATGCCACCTACATTGGCATTGATCACATAAAAACATGGTAGCAACCTCTTTCTTCTTACCACATATAAAACAAAGAAGATCAATTGGTAAAATTGCCAATTTAAGATGTATAGAGTCATTAATAGGAAGATGACAAAGAGCACAATTCTTTAAATGCTCTCGACACTCTTGTCCATTCTTGTCTTTTAACAAAAAAATACTACTAGGAAATAAATTCTTTACATGTAGAATTGTGTGCCTTGCCTTAATATCAAGTATTATAGGTACTTCATGTTGCAAATATACATAATTTTTTTAGAAAATCTTTATAAGTAGTATTGATAAGCTCAACTATAAATAGAATCATATCACAAAATATCCAATGTTGAGTAATAGATAAGTTTTTCATAGCCTTAGGCATGACTTGTTTCAAAAAATCTATCCAATCGTGTAGACATTAAGTTCAAATATCAAGATCACCTAGATCTATAATTAGAGCTAACTTTCCTTGTACTGAACTGGTGTCAAGGATAAGAACGTGATGAAAGCAATATGAAGAATTAAAATAGAGAAGTATGTATATTAAAAAGAAAATTAGAATGGCTATTGCCAAAAGACAAGGAAACTAGAGACTCTTGAAACTAGACAAAAAACAAGAAAGGAATTGACAAGAGTAAAGACGGCTTCATTCTTGCCTCTATTTATATTATCTACTTAAGATCTATGTAGCGACATTCTATAGAACCTCCAAAAATATGTTGACTTTGCATGACATGTACTTTATCTTGTAAGGCAAATTTTCTATATAGATGCTACATAGTTAGCTTATTCCATAAGCTATCAATACATGTGGCATTTAGTTAGCATATTCCATAAGCTATCAATACATGTGGCATGTAGTTAGCTTATCGATCAAGTTTCTAATCTATAAATCAACTATAAATACATATAAAGTCAAAATAATAGCTAAAAAGCTTTCAAGAAGCTTTTTTAGAAGATATTATGAAATTAATATATTTTCATGTACTTCTATTTATTCATATTATTTAGATAAGAAGTACAATAGATATATGTATTTTTGATAGTTGGATAAAATTGGCTCTTGTCCATACAATAATTAGAAAGGATTATAAGATGCCAAAGATGCTAATTCATTGAAATAATAATCTATCGCAATCCACAACAACATCAAGTTTCAATCATGATGGTTGCCATGAAGTAATTCATACTTTTGTAATCTATATTTGATAATCTAAATAACCTACTCAACTGGACCATCTACCTCAAGATGATTTCTAGATGTTATATCATGATCTATCAATGCTTTAATTCATAAAGCTTCAAAAATTCTAACAAATTCTCTTCTATGATTTGTTAAGATTTCAACAAGTGCTCCAAACTGTGCCAATACTTAATCAATAAAAACCATAGCTGCCAATTCTAAAGAATTTTGTAGTAAATCTATAAGTTCAATTCACTGACTAAAATATTTTCCCATTACTAACACGTATTTAACTCTATGTGAAGTAATAACAAGTAGTCGAGGAAAGTCTAAAGACTAACAATAATATAAGTCCATAATAGATAATAGCTTCAATTGAGGTGATAAAGTGGTAAAGCTTGATTTAATTTGATCATATGCTTTATATCAAGAAATATATGTGACCACTTATTCATACATACCACTCAACTAATATTAATTATGGAACATAGAATGTATATTGCATACTCTAAAATATCTAAATTCTTCATGTACTTCTCATATTAAGGAGGCTCTTTGATTTGGCCTTGGAACTATGCACCTAGTTCCATCATGTCACACACAAAATAATAAATTATTTTCCTAACAAAATCTTGTTATTTAGTGACAAATCCTATCTCTTCTATGTTAGAGATAGTTGAAGGAAATGTTCCTTACTGAAGTTTGTACAAGATTGCAAGATCTTCTTACACACTATTAATTACTTAACTTTTGTATAATTCTTCATCTAAATTTTGATCAAGAACCATGGTTGCAAAACCTGATATTAAAGTCAAGTATGTAGATGCATGCCATCCAAGGACTACCTCTCAATCACAATTTCTATACCACCAAGATCTAATTAAGCCTTTTTTTAAAGGACATGGATTATAAGAAATTCCATGAGCATTCAAATTGATAATGCTTATTCAATGCACAACCTTAAAGTTGTATTCTTGAAACAACAAAGTCTACCTTGCAAGCTTGCCAATAAGCTTG